TTTTTTTTTTTTCTTTTCCTCTCTCTCTCTATCTCCAGTTTCTATAGGGTCCATTGGACTCTCATCCTCATTTGTGTTGTCTCAAACATGAAGAGAGAGGGAATGGTAATAATTATACATTCATACTCGCAATAAAGAAGGAAATTGTGTTCTTTTTCTTCTCTTTTTCCCTTTCCCTTTTCGGTATCTTTTTTGATTTTCACAGTTTTCCCTTTTTTACAGTTTTTGTCTAATTTTCTAACGTACATCGAATGAGATTTTGTATGTTATTTAATAATTTTATCAACATTTATATTAAATTTAATAATTTTTAATTAACATGAAAGATAAATTTATTGATATCATTATGAGTGAGTACAAATGATCTGTGAGATCCGGTCTCAATTTGCGATTCGACATTTTTTGTGATTAATAAAATTATGCTCAAGAAGATTTCTTATTTTTCCCTGAAGTCTTGGATTGTCATTTCTTATCTAGTAATTTGAAATATAAAAAAATTAATTTTATAATAATTGTTTTAAAATTTAAACTTGATACAAATTTATAATTAATAGAATAAAATTGTATTTTAAATTTTTTATTTTAATATAGTTGTGAAAATAGGATTCAATGTAAATTCAATTTAATTTATTTACGAAATCATTTTGTAGAGAAATGATCAACATTCATATAAATAGATATTTTTAACTGTATAAATTATATTTTAGATTTAAGATAAATAATTTATATTGCAATATAAAATTATGTAATCTATTAATTATTTATTTAAAAATATTAAAAAAATTAATTAATAAATAAATATCAAGCTGAATTAGATAAAAAAATTAAGAAAATTTTTACAAAAATTTTGTCGAAGAATAATTTCTAAAAATACTTTTATGTAAGATAATCATTCATATTTAATATATAGAGGCCGATAATTTATATAGTAATACAAAATTATTTTTAACTTGATAATTTGTTATAAAAATATTAAAATTAATTTATAAATAAATATGATAAAAAAATTAAAATAAATAACAAGTTAAAGTAGTCCCTAAAAATTTTCTCATTAAAGAACAACACCTAAAAATGTTCTTGTTAAATAGAAGTCCATAAAAACACTCTTATGCAACTTTGATATACATGTCATAATATATATACAATAAAAGTTTATCGACTACTAAATCATATAATAAGTGTGTTAACCCTAAACCCTAAACAACTGTTAGACTAGCTATTCCAAGGTATCCCAAAAATCAGCATCGCCAACCAACCTAGTCTCCAAAGGACTTCATCAAATAACCTGTCCTTACTTTACTCTCATACCAAGTATGATCATCGCAATCCAACTACATGGGAACATGTAAGGATACGCTAGAATTCAAAGAAATCAACATAATTAATATAAAAGTAAAAACAACTATACTATCAACATAAACAACTCGACTTAATTCAACATAGTATTGGCTTACAACTCTTCAACACGATACAACATGTTCTTCAACTTGAATAATACAACAGCAACATCTTTATACAACTCATCACAATTTAGCATAACACATGAATAACACAACGCAATCAATACATCATTTACACAACACAACAACTATATGTATAATCACACATTTCAACTAGGAGATCTCCTACAACACAAGTGAGCAATCTAAATGGTTTGATCCTACCGAACCAACAACCCAATCTTTTCGATTTAGCTAGATTAACAACCAATTTGGACAAGAATCCATAACACAACATGGTTTCTTAGATTTTTCCACTTAAACTAGCAAGTCTAGTATTCTTGTCAAGGTAAAATAATTCGGATGTGAGTTTATCGCGACATTAGTTAGCATAACTAAATCAACTATGAGATTAGTTTGTCGACTACCCTCTAAATATTATGTCTTTCTAGTACTAAGTTAGGGATTTTGGCGCTCGACCTTGCACCTTACTCTAATTTGACCACTTTATACATGTATGTCTCGACCTGACCCACATACTACATCAACTAAGGTCCTATAGGAGACTCAACTATCCATTTATAGGATTAACTTTCCAAGAAAGATTTTTAATAAATTGAGCTCTCGAAGCATCACAATACAATATCCTCACAATGAGATATGCAACTTTAAAAATAACTTCTCCTCTAGTCCTAAGTCAATCAACACAATACGACTTTAATGCCAAAAGCATGCTCAACACAACTACCTAATTGAACTACATGAAACTCAACTCAACTTTCAACTATTTAATCAATTTTATACATTAAGTTACACCCAGGTATAAAGATTCAACAACATGCATCAACATATGGCATATAGCACAACGTAATCATCTTATAACATGTAATAGATTCCATAAACCTATGCATATTCAACTTTTAACAATACAAATGACACATTTATAAGGCAGTCCATGCCCAACGCCACTCTTTTATTGCTCGACATGAAATGAGGTAGAGAGTCTCTAATTCGTCTATGTTCAATGTCAATCATTCCATGCCCGGATGAGGTAAAAAGCCATTATTTCTCTCACACCTAACGTGGCCAAAACCCATGTCTAACCTCATTTTAAGCAAAGAGTCTTTTTCTGACTCACACTTGACGTCACCATATTAGCCTTCGATGTCATTTAGGCTGAGAGTGTTCTAGCTTGGCCACGCTGAGTGCCACTCAACTTTGGACCCAAGGTCATCAAGTGAAAGACATTTCTCTCTCCTCACGTTCGACACCATTCAAACCACACTCAGTGTGATCAAGTCAGAAACTTTCCTATAACTCATGCCCAACACCTTTGATCCTACGCTTGACATAAGTGAGGTAGGGAGCCTCTAACATGAGCCATGCCTAGTGTCATGAGGGAATGCTTGGCACAATGTGAATTTCACACTTGACAAATTCATGAATTTGGCTCTCCACACCTGAAACTCAAACAACCCCAACATGTAATAGTAGAAACAACACATACACATCAGACACAACTCCTTTCTAGCCATAAAAGCAACATGCAACCACAATTGAGCTAAAATTCTCAAGATCTCCTCAATGTGCATCTCCCACCCAAAACTCATCAAAATTCATAATTTCATCACTCATTTACCCACACAACCATAAATTATTGAAATACCACAACATACAACACAAAATCATCCAACAATCAACCAAACCACTCAATAATAACCATGAACCTAACTTCCCTTACCTAGAGGTCAAAACGAACCAAGGTAGAAGAAGAAGAAAAATGAACTTCGCACCAACATTGATCCTTAGCCTCAACAGCTTTGAATCATCACTTAACGGATCAACATGGATCTTCTATGCCTTTAGGGAGTCTAGAAAGAAAAGAAAAACAAGAAGAAAAATCAACACTTTGATATGAACCCCCTCCAAAGCTTCTCTCTGTAGTTAATCTCTCTAGATTCTCTAAGAATGAGTTTATGAGCTCAATTCTCAAAATAATTCCCCTTTAAGATCAAACTGGACCTTTAGCCAGGGAAACTCTCAAGACTACCTAAACTCGTGAGAATTCCTTAAATTCTTAAAGTCTTTCAACAATTCACAACATTAAACCACCACAACACAATAATTAATAAAATCAGCAATAACTATTAAGAACGTATAGTGTTACAATAAGCACTTACACCAATATTATACCTTTAATAATTTTTTGTATGATGCAAATTTAATTGATCCAACTATTGAATTAAGTGATACTATACTCAATATAATATATATATATATATATATATATATATCAAATTTCACATGATTCCAAAATTATTTAGTAGTTCATTACATTCCTTTATTTTAGCATATAATATAATACTTAAAATATGTGTAAATATCTATATTTGAATAGCATCTAAAAAAGTTTAATTCATGTGAATTTTGATAAACATAATTTTTAATATAATATCACATAATTCAACAGTTAGATCGATTAGATTTACATTATATAAAAAGTTATTAATGAATAAAATTTGGTGTAAGAGTTCAAACATAAACTTGGTGTCAACAAATCCTAACTTACACACACACACACACATATATATGAGGAGGGATCTACTTACTAAGACTAAGTTTATCTAGAGTTACTCCACTCACTAATTTATATTCTATATTAAATTTTAATGATTCAACTGTTAAATTGAAAGTTCTCAATACATAAATCAATAGTCTGCAAATGTTTACAAAAATTAAAAACTATTTGATATTTTGTTTCATTAATTCATATTTACAGATAATCATAAAAGTATTTTATGAATTAACAAAACAAAATATCAAATAATTTTCAATTTTTAAAAAAAATTACAAAATTGATCTATGCTTTAAGAACTTTCAATTCAAATATTAGATCATTAAAATTTGATATAAAACATAAGTTATTAAATAAAGTAAGTTTAGATAAAATTACTTTTAAAATAAGTAGATTTGTCCTCTGATTATTTTATATATATATATATATATATAGAGAGAGAAAGAAACAGAAAGCGGTAGGGGGGGGGGAGATGGATAAAATAATTTTATAGGCTCTATTAATAAAAACGAATTTTAAGTAAATTTTGTCAAATTAACAAGTTAATTATATATGAGATTTAAATAAAATTTTACATTATTTAAACATTAGATTATTTTTTCAACTTTACAAGAACACAATTTTTTTTTATGCACAAAAAGTTTCCGATAAACGGGCAGAAATTATATTAAAGTATATTTTATCTCATTTGATAAAGTTATATATTTAAAAGTTCAAAAACCAAACTTTATTCAACGTGTTTAGGCATAAAGGGTTTATTTTTCTTCATTAGAAAAAGAAAAGATTATCTATTAACTATGGTCACGGTGTTAAGGTTTGCCTCTCACTAGTTTTTGTTTTTCACTTTCCGTAAACCTTTAATTAATCCATCATCATTTATTTTATTTTATATTTTAAAAATAATATAAA